TCTAGCAACTTCGACCGTCTGAACTAATCATAGAAGAAATATAAGAACAATAACCAAGACGAACACAAAGAATATGAAGAAAAAAAAAATGAAGACAAGAATATCAAAGAACTAAGACAAAAAAAAACAAAAGATGAACAAAGATGAAGAAATAGACCAAATAACGGAATAAGAAACCGCGAGAAGCCGAGAATGAATAAATATAAAAGGAATAAAGATGAAGAAGAAACCAAAATAAACAAAAAGAAACCAAATAAATAAGAATAGACCAAAGAAAAATAAACTAAGGACGAAAAATAAAAATATTGGTTCAATAGTCACCATGAACATGCTCTTGACGACAAAAGTTTAGGAATAAAAAATATTTAATCAAACTATTAAAATAGACCCGCGCGTGCGCGGGTAAAAGACCTAGTAAAATAATAAAATTGCTTTAAAATATCCTTTGAAAAAAAATTCTTGAGGAAACAACAAAAAAAAGAACAAAAGAGTTTCCAATTTGATATATGGAAGGTTCTCCTACAACGGCCGAGCAACGAGTCCCTTCTGAATCATCTTCTCCACCAACTCTTCATGCTTCTTCAATTGCCCAGCTTTTCTCAACTGAGCAAGAACCATCTCATACAAAGCCAAGCTCGGTACCAAACACTTCTCCTCAACCATCTCCCTAAAGAACTTATAAGCATTATTCCAATGCCCCATCCCACAAAACATTGTCACCAAAAGCCTATAAGTATTCACATTCGGCTCAACCTCCTTCGCATCCATCTCCTTCTTCATCTTCAACACCATATCAGTAGACTTCGACTCCACAAACATCCTCATCAGTATATTATACGTCACCGTATTCGCCTCACACTTCGCCTCCACCATCTTCGCAAACATCCTATGCGCGCCATTGACGTCTCTCTTCCTCTCAATGTGCCTAAATATAGTATTGAAAGTCGACGCGTTCACATCGCACTTCTTCTTGATCATCGCGTTCAACACCTTCACCGCGTTCTCAAGATGATCGTCTCTGCAATGAGCCTCGATGAGGAAGTTGTAAGTGATCGTGTCAGGCTCGCATCCCAGCTTCTTCATCTGGTTATAAACCTGCAACACCTTCTCTGTTCTTCCCGCTTTCACATGAACCCTCATCAAGTTGTTGAAAGTAATCGCGTTTGGAGCACATCCCGATTCGATCATATCCGCAAACACATCGTGCGCGCGGCTGATTTGACCGCATCTACACAACGCGTCGATGACAATGCTGTACGTATACACGTTTGGATCAATCCCAGCCGATTTCATCTCCTTGAACACTCTCTCCGCCTCCGAGATCTCACCGGCTCGGCACCAACCACGAACCAGATTGGTGTAGACGATGACATCTGGCTCGAATCTGTCTTTCAAGCTATCGAAAAACGATTGAGCTTCGTTAGCTCTTCTCTTTCGAGAGAGGATGCTAATGACAATGGAGAAAGCGATTTTATCAGGAACGCATCCGTAATCTTCCATACGGTTGAAGCAATGCACGGCCTCTGAAGCTAATCCGGCTCTAACGTAACGCCTAATCAGATTCGTGAAGGTCTCGATCGAGATCGAGACGTCTCTCGATTTCATGAGATCGATCAAGTGCCAGGCTAGGTCGAATTGTCTTACCTTTCCAGCGAAATCGATCATTTCGTTGTACGGGTGAGGGGATTTCTGGTCGTATTCGTCTCGCGAGGTGGCCCAGTTGAAGAAAGCTAGGGATTGGAGGAGAGGGATTCCGTGGCGGACGCCGCCGCACTTCTCGATTACGCATCGGACGACGGAGGGGGAGATTCGGGAGGCGTCGGCGGCGGAGATTTGGGAGAAATCGAGGGAGAGAGATGGGAGGGTGAAGCTAGGGTTTAAGACGGCGTCGTTCGGGTCGGTGGGGTTTTTGCGATAGTGGTCTTTGATGATGGAGTGGAGCTTTTCTACTGTGTGTGTATCTTCCGGAGTTAACACAGGCAAGGCGGGGACAGAGCTGACGGTGGCGGCGGCGGCGGCGGATTCGTCAATTTGGTGGTCATGGTGTAGGGAACTTGCGGAGGTGGTGAAGGATTTAGGAAGAAGAGGAGAGATGAAGGCAATGGTTCGAGAGAGATGGAGTTTTGATCGCATTAACGCCATTAATGGGGAGAAGATTTGGTCACTCGTCGCTTCCGAAGATCGAACGCAGAGTGGCGTTTTGTGGCGGAGGAAGCTCATTTTATGCATACGAAAAATTATTAAAAGGTCAAATTTTGCTTCGCTCCAAGTCCAAACGGCAAACGTTAGCTGAAGCGGCGTCGTTTTAGTGCAGGTGTATTCTCTATTGACTTCTTACGACGTTTCTTATTAGGTTGAAGCTAACCATAGTTATGTGATAATGTAATATGATCGGATTATATATATTGTTAGTCTTCAAAAATGAATTAAGTAAAACAGGAATTCCAAATGAATTTACACTTTTAAACAATATATAGACATTCTCGTTAACGACTGCAAAACAAACATCATGTAATCGATTGCTATTTTTTAAAAACAGTGAACTTGAGATGATTTTGTTGAATTAGTGAGGATAATATAATTGTTACTTATCATGGTTATCGCTAACAATTACAAAAACAAACGAAGCCATATCTCATTCTCACTTAGTTAACCAAATTGTCCAATATCACGATTCTTTTATTTACTGTTTTGCAGATAGATTCTAAATATCATGAATCTATGATGAAATGAAAGTGCTGTGTATAAGTTACGGACAAAAAGTCTCTTTCGTATTGTAATCATATTTTCTCGAAGGAAATTCAACTGATTATGTAATCTATTGCCTGCCGATTAAAAATATTTTAAGGCAAAAATACGTCAAGCCATAAATTCATGAAAATCTACTAATCTTACTTGCATATGGCCGCCTAATGGATATACACATATCGCATTACAACACATAGTCGTGTCCACATATTGGATGATGTCTAACCACCGGCCTGAGCTAACATATATATATATATATATGTGAGTCATTTTGATGATGCTAATTGGTACTCTTTAGTCCCTATCCGTGTATATATGCAGCTTGACCAAGCCATTTTTCTGACTCGTAATATCAAGGAAAAACATTCTCTTATAATAAAAATAAGCATATGATAGTTTCAAACCTATCTTATGGTATTAAAAAAAAATTAAACTAAGTCTTGATACCAAATGGTTAAACAAAAAATAGAAGGACCATTTCTAAGCTTCTCTAATCTCCAATCCTAATCCAATGGAAGCTTTGGCAATTTCACATTACATTCCTTCCAAAGAGAGATATCCTAACAACACACGCTTATGCTCTCTTCTCCATCTAATTCCTACTACGACTAGTATTTAATTCCTAATCCGATCTTAACCAATAATCACATAATAACCCTTTTGTTGTTTCTCCTTGGTTACTCCAAAACCTCAGGAAAAAAAAAGAAAGAACAAAACCAATCACTGGGTTCTTACCAAATATTACCGTCGGCGCCAGTGGCGGAGAACGAGAAGAGAACGGAGGAGCATGTGCAGTCGTTGAAAGATCTGATTCCGTTCCGTTATCCAGCTGGGACCGAGACGCCTCCGTTCGAGCATATGCCTAATTCCGTTAAACGGAGTTACGTCAAGGTTAAAGAGCCTCTCTTTGATCCGATGACTTCTAGGCGTATCTATTGGCGGGAAGTACCTTCTGCTGAGGATGATCACGGCCATGGTCATGGATGTTGCTTTTTCTTGAAGAGAAGCATTCGAAGGATGATCAACAAGTGGTTTGGTACTCTTTTTGGATTACCCAAGTTTGACGAGTTTTCATTATTGAAGTAATTTGTTTTCTAGGTATAGATTGTAAAAAACAAAAAAAGCAACATCCATGACCATGGCCGTGATCATCCTCAGCAGAAGGTACTTCCCGCCAATAGATACGCCTAGAAGTCATCGGATCAAAGAGAGGCTCTTTAACCTTGACGTAACTCCGTTTAACGGAATTAGGCATATGCTCGAACGGAGGCGTCTCGGTCCCAGCTGGATAACGGAACGGAATCAGATCTTTCAACGACTGCACATGCTCCTCCGTTCTCTTCTCGTTCTCCGCCACTGGCGCCGACGGTAATATTTGGTAAGAACCCAGTGATTGGTTTTGTTCTTTCTTTTTTTTTCCTGAGGTTTTGGAGTAACCAAGGAGAAACAACAAAAGGGTTATTATGTGATTATTGGTTAAGATCGGATTAGGAATTAAATACTAGTCGTAGTAGGAATTAGATGGAGAAGAGAGCATAAGCGTGTGTTGTTAGGATATCTCTCTTTGGAAGGAATGTAATGTGAAATTGCCAAAGCTTCCATTGGATTAGGATTGGAGATTAGAGAAGCTTAGAAATGGTCCTTCTATTTTTTGTTTAACCATTTGGTATCAAGACTTAGTTTAATTTTTTTTTAATACCATAAGATAGGTTTGAAACTATCATATGCTTATTTTTATTATAAGAGAATGTTTTTCCTTGATATTACGAGTCAGAAAAATGGCTTGGTCAAGCTGCATATATACACGGATAGGGACTAAAGAGTACCAATTAGCATCATCAAAATGACTCACATATATATATATATATATGTTAGCTCAGGCCGGTGGTTAGACATCATCCAATATGTGGACACGACTATGTGTTGTAATGCGATATGTGTATATCCATTAGGCGGCCATATGCAAGTAAGATTAGTAGATTTTCATGAATTTATGGCTTGACGTATTTTTGCCTTAAAATATTTTTAATCGGCAGGCAATAGATTACATAATCAGTTGAATTTCCTTCGAGAAAATATGATTACAATACGAAAGAGACTTTTTGTCCGTAACTTATACACAGCACTTTCATTTCATCATAGATTCATGATATTTAGAATCTATCTGCAAAACAGTAAATAAAAGAATCGTGATATTGGACAATTTGGTTAACTAAGTGAGAATGAGATATGGCTTCGTTTGTTTTTGTAATTGTTAGCGATAACCATGATAAGTAACAATTATATTATCCTCACTAATTCAACAAAATCATCTCAAGTTCACTGTTTTTAAAAAATAGCAATCGATTACATGATGTTTGTTTTGCAGTCGTTAACGAGAATGTCTATATATTGTTTAAAAGTGTAAATTCATTTGGAATTCCTGTTTTACTTAATTCATTTTTGAAGACTAACAATATATATAATCCGATCATATTACATTATCACATAACTATGGTTAGCTTCAACCTAATAAGAAACGTCGTAAGAAGTCAATAGAGAATACACCTGCACTAAAACGACGCCGCTTCAGCTAACGTTTGCCGTTTGGACTTGGAGCGAAGCAAAATTTGACCTTTTAATAATTTTTCGTATGCATAAAATGAGCTTCCTCCGCCACAAAACGCCACTCTGCGTTCGATCTTCGGAAGCGACGAGTGACCAAATCTTCTCCCCATTAATGGCGTTAATGCGATCAAAACTCCATCTCTCTCGAACCATTGCCTTCATCTCTCCTCTTCTTCCTAAATCCTTCACCACCTCCGCAAGTTCCCTACACCATGACCACCAAATTGACGAATCCGCCGCCGCCGCCGCCACCGTCAGCTCTGTCCCCGCCTTGCCTGTGTTAACTCCGGAAGATACACACACAGTAGAAAAGCTCCACTCCATCATCAAAGACCACTATCGCAAAAACCCCACCGACCCGAACGACGCCGTCTTAAACCCTAGCTTCACCCTCCCATCTCTCTCCCTCGATTTCTCCCAAATCTCCGCCGCCGACGCCTCCCGAATCTCCCCCTCCGTCGTCCGATGCGTAATCGAGAAGTGCGGCGGCGTCCGCCACGGAATCCCTCTCCTCCAATCCCTAGCTTTCTTCAACTGGGCCACCTCGCGAGACGAATACGACCAGAAATCCCCTCACCCGTACAACGAAATGATCGATTTCGCTGGAAAGGTAAGACAATTCGACCTAGCCTGGCACTTGATCGATCTCATGAAATCGAGAGACGTCTCGATCTCGATCGAGACCTTCACGAATCTGATTAGGCGTTACGTTAGAGCCGGATTAGCTTCAGAGGCCGTGCATTGCTTCAACCGTATGGAAGATTACGGATGCGTTCCTGATAAAATCGCTTTCTCCATTGTCATTAGCATCCTCTCTCGAAAGAGAAGAGCTAACGAAGCTCAATCGTTTTTCGATAGCTTGAAAGACAGATTCGAGCCAGATGTCATCGTCTACACCAATCTGGTTCGTGGTTGGTGCCGAGCCGGTGAGATCTCGGAGGCGGAGAGAGTGTTCAAGGAGATGAAATCGGCTGGGATTGATCCAAACGTGTATACGTACAGCATTGTCATCGACGCGTTGTGTAGATGCGGTCAAATCAGCCGCGCGCACGATGTGTTTGCGGATATGATCGAATCGGGATGTGCTCCAAACGCGATTACTTTCAACAACTTGATGAGGGTTCATGTGAAAGCGGGAAGAACAGAGAAGGTGTTGCAGGTTTATAACCAGATGAAGAAGCTGGGATGCGAGCCTGACACGATCACTTACAACTTCCTCATCGAGGCTCATTGCAGAGACGATCATCTTGAGAACGCGGTGAAGGTGTTGAACGCGATGATCAAGAAGAAGTGCGATGTGAACGCGTCGACTTTCAATACTATATTTAGGCACATTGAGAGGAAGAGAGACGTCAATGGCGCGCATAGGATGTTTGCGAAGATGGTGGAGGCGAAGTGTGAGGCGAATACGGTGACGTATAATATACTGATGAGGATGTTTGTGGAGTCGAAGTCTACTGATATGGTGTTGAAGATGAAGAAGGAGATGGATGCGAAGGAGGTTGAGCCGAATGTGAATACTTATAGGCTTTTGGTGACAATGTTTTGTGGGATGGGGCATTGGAATAATGCTTATAAGTTCTTTAGGGAGATGGTTGAGGAGAAGTGTTTGGTACCGAGCTTGGCTTTGTATGAGATGGTTCTTGCTCAGTTGAGAAAAGCTGGGCAATTGAAGAAGCATGAAGAGTTGGTGGAGAAGATGATTCAGAAGGGACTCGTTGCTCGGCCGTTGTAGGAGAACCTTCCATATATCAAATTGGAAACTCTTTTGTTCTTTTTTTTGTTGTTTCCTCAAGAATTTTTTTTCAAAGGATATTTTAAAGCAATTTTATTATTTTACTAGGTCTTTTACCCGCGCACGCGCGGGTCTATTTTAATAGTTTGATTAAATATTTTTTATTCCTAAACTTTTGTCGTCAAGAGCATGTTCATGGTGACTATTGAACCAATATTTTTATTTTTCGTCCTTAGTTTATTTTTCTTTGGTCTATTCTTATTTATTTGGTTTCTTTTTGTTTATTTTGGTTTCTTCTTCATCTTTATTCCTTTTATATTTATTCATTCTCGGCTTCTCGCGGTTTCTTATTCCGTTATTTGGTCTATTTCTTCATCTTTGTTTTTTTTTGTCTTAGTTCTTTGATATTCTTGTCTTCACTTTTTTTTTCTTCATATTCTTTGTGTTCGTCTTGGTTATTGTTCTTATGTTTCTTCTATGATTAGTTCAGACGGTCGAAGTTGCTAGAGTTTTACTTTTTTTTTGTTATTTTTTTTCTAGATTATTTTCTGCTGGAATTTGTTTCACGATTTTATCCTTTTTAGAAATCTTTAATTTAATTAGGTAAAATAATTTTTTTACTATCTGATACCCTAAACCAAATTTAAAAATGTAAAAGATTCATAGAAATAAAATTAAGTTAGAGATATACAAATATATATTTAGACATATACTGACCAATGCCTAATAATAATACAAATAATTCAGTTTATGCGATCATAATGATATAGTTAAGCATAGCTTTCAATTTTCATATTCTTTGGTTCATCTTTTTATTTGGTTTCTTGGTTTAGCTTTATATTATGTGGGTTTTTTTATTTATATTTTCGTTCTTTGTTTTATTCGTCTTTTCTTTTCTTCATCAACCTTTTTTTCTTTGCTTTTCTTGGTTCTTATTTCTATTTCTTCTATGATTCATATTTTCTATCGAAAATGCTGCGTTTCTCCAGAGTATGTTTATTCCAACTTCCTCTTCTTCTATGCATTAGTTGTTCTTCGCTTTAAATTCTCCATGACTATACTTTTTGTAAATATGTTTAATATTAACCTCTTTAATCTTAGGTAGAAATTTTTTCACTATCTAGCTAAGCCTTCAAAAATAAATTGTACGTCTAACAATTTTAGCTACAAAAACTAATAATATTGTAGATAACCTAATACTAATATTTATGTTGGATTTCTAGGAGTATAAAATTTATTTGAAGAAAAGCTAATCGACACACATTGTGGTTTTTCATTTCCTTCTTCACTCACTCTTGTTTCTATGTTTTTAAATTTTATTTATTTAGTCTCTTCAATTTTTCCTACTTTGATTTTTTTTTGTTCTTATTTGGTTTCATATTTATCTTCACTCATCTTCGTTTCTGCTCTTCTTCGGGCTTCGCTTTCCTTTGTCTTTGCTCTTGTTTATTATTTCTTTGTGTTCTTGTTTGGTTTCATTGCCTTCTTCACTCTTGTTTCTATGTTTTTTTGTAAATTTATTCTTCTGTAATTTTTCCTACTTTGATTTCTTTTTTATTCTTATTTGATTTTTTATTTATTTTCACTCATCTTCGGTTATGATCTTCTTTATTCCTCCTATGTGTTCTTTTTTGGTTTCATATCTTTTGTTCTTGTCTTAGCAAAAAAAATATTAGTGTTAAATAAGCTCATGTGTACTAATAATATTAGTTTTTTAAAATTTAATATGACCAATTTACATGACAAAGGTTTTTTTTTATTGTAATTAGAAAATATATACTTTTATTTATTTTCTAAAGTATTTAATTAATAAACTGTTCTAAAATATAAAAAGGAAAATAATTACTTAATTTTAGTAATTATGTGGAATGATACTATTGGTTGTTTAAAATCATATATACTTAATTTTCTTATATCTTACATATTTAAAAATCAAATTTTCTTTTTAATCACGTAAATGTTTATGTAGACTAATCAAATTAAGATAGTCAATTTTATATGATGATGTGGAATGATACTATTGGTTATTTTGGAATTAGGAAACTTTCTTGAAATATAAAAAGATGATTAATTAATTTTAACAAATAGACCTTATTTTATATAATGATGTGGAATGATATTATTGGTTATTTAAAATTTGGAAACTTTCCTAATATTGAGATGCTTACATGGACCAGTAATATTGTGTTTTTAAATCCTATGTGGACGCTCTCAGAGGCTTATAGCCTCAATTTTTATATATTATAGATTATGGTAGAAAAGAGTATTATAAGCTGATGATGATTTAACTTTCTATTGGTAATTGGTAAATAATATTGGTGCCGTTACCTTTTAATCAATTAGAAGCAGTTCATATCTCATAAGCAGATCTTCTTTTTTAGTATTCCTTGCCTCCCCAGAATGGATGACTCTAGCAAGCAGCTCTTTCTTACAAAATCCTTTAGTGAGTTCATCGAAAATAAAAGGATGCCGTAACTGATCAGAAACAGAAAAGCTGGAAAAAGACATAGCTATTTTAATAATCTCTCTCTCTCTCTCTCTCTCTCTCTCTAAGAATATGGTTGTCTTTAGAACTCTTGTAAAGTTTAGAGGACTATTTATAGGCAATGCCAAACATTGAAATAGCTAAATTGTTAATTTCCTTTTTATTTTAATTAGTTAGTTTAGCTTTTCCAGTAATATGTTCTTTTTTTAGTTTAACTCTTTTTATGTTAAATTTCCATTAAACTATTTAAAATAATGGGTTAAGGTAATTAGTGTCGTAATGTAAGTATTAAAATTCAAAATAGTACAATTTCCATTCTTTAATACAATAATGTAATTTTTTCTCAAAAAATTATTTAATTTTCGATTTTAAAATTAAAATGCTGATTTGGCAAAATTTAATTGGTTTTTTAAAAGCTGATGTGGACGCTCTTAGAGGCTTATAGCCTCAACTTTTATATTAGTTTAGCTTTTCCAATAATATGTTCTTTTTTCAGTTTAACTCTTTTTATGTTAAATTTCCATTAAACTATTTAAAATAATGGGTTAAGGTAATTAGTGTCGTAATGTAAGTATTAAAATTTAAAATAGTACAATTTCCATTCTTTAATACAATAATGTAATTTTTTTCTCAAAAAATTATTTAATTTTCGATTTTAAAATTAAAATGCTGATTTGGCAAAATTTAATTGGTTTTTTAAAAGCTGATGTGGACGCTCTTAGAGGCTTATAGCCTCAACTTTTATAGTATAGATTGTCAAGCAAATTTGTATCTTCGGTTTGGGGCCTTTGGGCACAACACTTGTTAACTTACTTGCATTAAAGAACAGATGGTGAAAAGCAAATACAATGAATTCAATTTATATCTTTTGTTTATAAAAAGGTATGCCAAAAAAATGATATTTAGTCCTTCGTTTTTATGTGTACATAAACATATACCAACGAGATTAATACAGAAGACTCGAGAGGAGTATTTCATTTGAAAATAAAATTTGTAAAACAGCATTTATTAAGAGAAGACTAAAGAGAGGAAGTATTTCTCAACGTTTCAATGACAAAATGTAACAAATTGGTAGATATATCATACTATTATTTGCAAAGTCAGAATTTCGAATGGAGGCACCACGTTAACTCTCAGCCTCGGAATTACATAACTACCCTTAATGAAAATCTTGATTAAATCTTCAAATTTTCTTTTTTTTTATATTATTCGTTTTGTGTATCAACGTCAAAAATTTATAGAATTTATCATATTTAAACTAAATTATTTATCCTATTTTATAGATTTCCTTTAATATATTTAATTAGAAATTTTTTGAAACCTTTAAACATAAACATGAAAAGATATTTATGATTCTTACTAATTACTAATCTTTTTTTAAAAAACCTAACTAATCGGTTTTGATTAAAATTGTAAAGGATATCTATATGAAACCCTAGCTTTGATAATCCTCATACAAACCATATATATAAAGCCTGACTAACAAGAAACACAAGAACGACTATCTTCTTTAAGTTCTTCTCTTCACGTTTGTTGTTCGTTTAGGTTAGACTTTAGTTTGTGAATTTTTAATTGCTAAGATTTCCTTCGTTACTTTTATATAAATTTAATATGTTCTATGTATGATTGTTTAACCGTTGCAGTTTTAGACCTGTATTTTTTGTAATTGAATCGCTTTTTAGGTTACAGAGAGGAAGGTTACAAATCAGAAAGAGATAACAGAAAGGAAGCACAAACTTTCAAAAGGTGATTCAAATAACTGTGATATTTTTTGGTTTGTCGTTCTTATTTTCGTTTGATTTAATACAACACTTTTACTGTTTCTTTCTTCTTTTGTTACCATCGACATAAAGCTATTAGAATCCTATATAACATTGTATTTCCAAGTCAAGCCTTTGTGAGGTTTTATTAATTAAACAAAATCTTTGAAGAAGATTGGAAAAGCAGAATTCCTAAGTTAACTCAGAAGTTCTTTAATGCGTCCGGAAGCAATACATCGCGGATAAATCATCGTTGATGACTTCCGAGGAAGAAGAAGGTGATGTGTTTCTTGGTGATAGCGTACCCGGAGACGCGGCGACTGAGGAAGAGGAAGAGGAAGAACAAAAGTGGTCTGGAGAGAACAAAAGTTGATGACCCTAAGATTAAAGCTAAGATGGATGAAGCTGATAATGAGATTTATAAATTTTGTAACAGTGATATGATTCAGATTGCTAATGAACTGAATTCTGAAAGAAAATAGGTGATCATAATCTGTCAAGGCTTCCAGAGTCGATTACAAGAAAAGAATTGTGCCTTCACTTGATGAGCAAAAGCTGAGTACTCTAGCAACGATTCTGCCATCAGTTTAATCTCTTCTTCTCATTATGGCTTTTCCACTTACTGTCTTATTTAGTCATTAGTTGGTGTTTCTCTATTAATTAATGGTTATTTGAAGTAGTACGTACAATTTATGATTACATGTTTGGTACATTTAAGGGAAAAAATTGAAAGCTTTTGCAGATTGTGTGGCTGCTACAAAGGGCTGCTATGAATCCTTACGAATTATTTCAGTTGCAACAGGATTTCAACAGGATGATTTCTGTGATTCCCATAGACCCTGTAAGCCATGTTGACGAGTGGTTTGTGTTGGGAATTTTTTCCCCGCGCGCTCAAGCTTTAGAAGTTGTTATTCCTTTTAGTTTCATATATTTTTGGGAAGAAGGCGTTGACAATTAGTTGAAGTGATGTGGGAGGATGGAATGTATTTAGGCTTTACTAAAAATATTTTATGAGTTTAGTTCTGGTCATGTGGCTGCTGCTCGAAAAGTCACTCACTCCCGAGGAAGTGATGCTTTTACTTTCTTTTTTTGCTAAAATTTGTTAGCTGTAAGATTTTATTGCTTTGATAGCTTTGAAGAATATGATGGACTCAATTGATAGACTTTCATCATTAAAGAAGGAAAAAATGAAATGTAAAGACAATAAAGAAATATAAATAAAAACTTGAATAAGATGATGTCAGAAAAAATGAAAACCCTTAATGAAAATCAGAATTTCTTATTTGCGAAGTCAGAATTTTGAATGGAGACATCACGTTAAGTCTCAGCCTCGGAATTACAGAATTACCCTTAATAAAAATCTTGCTAATATCTTTATTTTTAATTAATTAATTATAATTACATATTAATTTTCAGAAACTCAGAAAACCCTAATAATATTAACTTAAAATCTCTATATATATACATGTCAAACAAGGCCGATTACTGTGTAGATGGGGTGTTTATTGTAGGGCTATGGTTTATATTGGTGGGTGTAGGATTTATTTTTGTGTGCATTTTTAAAACTTTAATGATTTGTTTATGTTCGGACAAGTATGATACAAATACTTTAGCATTGATCTTATGAACAACTCTCTACTGAACAAAGAGAGAAGAAAGAGGGTTATTACATAACATAAAACCCAATTGAGACATCAAAAACCCTAATGGAGATTGAAATTTCAGGAATAATTTGTGTACTTTCTAAACTCATGCACAACTCCATATGCATTTTTGAATTGTAATTATTAGGGAATAATATCTCACATTGGAAGTTGGAAGGAATTTCAAATAATATATAAAGGACATGGGGGATTTATCCCCCCTCCTTCGATCAAAAAAAGGACATGGATCACTCTACTCATAGCAAATTAGTTTTGAGTTGGAAACTCATGTAACTTAACAGTAATTTTGCTAATAGTAACATAATGAATGGATTTTCGTTTGTCTGAAATTCTGAATAATATCAATTTAACGATTCAAAATTATCTATATATGATTGATTAGTTGCACATGTTATTAATAGATATTAGTTTTGTAGAACTCAACTCTTGGTTACACCTACATGATGATGATTTTTTGAGCTTTGATTCTACTCTCTATCTTTAAATTATTCTTATAAGTTTCAGTCCATCTTACATCCTTCGTAAGAGTGAGAAGACGAAGAAAATGAGAGGAAAGAATCTTACATCCTTCGTAAGAGTGAGAAGACGAAGAAAATGAGAGAAATTAAAGATGAGAAGGAGAAGATGGGTTTAGGGTGTAGGGTTTATATTGATGGGTGTAGGGTTTAGTTTTTGGTGCATTTTAAAAACTTAATTATTATAGAAGAATTTCATTATTAAAATCATTTATTATAAATTTACATCTACTTTCAAAATTACATTCACAAACAGAAAAAAAAACTAAAACGACTAAAGAAAATCCAGAATCGAAAGATAACAAAACTAATAAATTTTTAAGAGATCTCAACTATATAAAGATATAATCTATTTCACAAATATTGAAAATCTAAACTATCAATTCAAAGTGAAATGCAAGACATAGATAAGAAATAATAAAAACACAAGTAAAAGAAAACACTGAAAAAGAAGATGAGAAATAGACAAGAGAAAATAAAAACACAAGTAAAATAAAAGAAGACACTGAAAAAGAAAATGAAAAATTTGGAGAAGAAGAGTAAAACTCGAAGAAGAGAAAATGAAAAAGAACACGAAGAAAAAGAAAGTAAAGATGAAAAAATGGAATTGAAGAAATTTTCAAAATAAATGAAGAAAATTACATAGAAAAATAAGAAAGATAATATAAAAAGACACATCAATATTATAAAAATAAGAAGTTTGTGAAAACAAAAACGATGAATACAATAAAAATTTATACTATTTATCTTATTATAACCTTTAATTAATTAATGTATTTTAAAAATATTGTACACGCACAAGGTGCGGGATAACCACATTTTTGACAAATATTTGGAAATGTATCGTTAAGTTGTGAGTCTTGTGACATATAACAACAGCTTTTGTCGTTTATTGACCAAAAGCCAAAACGATTCACTTTGTTCGTCGCTTTCAATCTAATCAATTATCGGCTAACTAGCTGTTCATGAACTAATTTGTTTTCTTTAATTAATCCAACAAATTAATCATGTAAGTCATGTGGTTTATTGTCCATGTCTAAAACTAAATCTAATGTACAACACATTACACATGTTGAAATGAACCCCATCATAGTCAAATAAACCATGGAACTAATCCCGCGTAGAAAGAAGAAGACAACCTAGAAGAATATATAAATTTGTAAGCCAACAAGATACACGTCAGCATATAAATTGGTAAACTGGAATAAAGTCGGCCATATAAGACATAAATGTCTTCTCCGGTTTAAGTCAACATTGTATTAATGACATTCATTAAAATCTTTCTCCGGTTTAGCTCAGCTTTGACTAAAACGGCAAAAACCCTTCATGACATCGTCACCGTTGACAATTCCAATCGTGTTTCTCTCGTATCCTCTGATTCTCTCACTTTCTTAGAAGTTTCAGACACAACAGAACATATAAAACCAAGAATCTGTTTTTCGCACCTTTATAACTTTTTGTGAATAGATGGAAAAAGCAAAAGCTTCCAATAATAATTACACGAATATGCTTCAAAAAGCGGTGTCAATTGGTCACAGTGGGGCACCGTTTAGTCCGGTAAGAGAACTCCGTCACCGCCGTACAACTTCGACGGTGTTGAACAGAGGATTTTTCTTCTCCGGTCCGATAACACCGTTGCTTCCAACGGCGTCTAGAGTTAAGAGGAGAACCAAAAACGACGTCGTCTGTGCCGAACCCACTTCGCCTAAAGTCTCTTGCATCGGTCAGATCAAACACGCTAAGCCAAAATGTACGGAGAAGAAAAACAGAGTAGCAGCACCACCTAAGAATCTCAAAACGGTGTCGTCGTCTCTTATCAAAGAAGAAGACAAGAGAAGTTTTTCGAAACTAAAGCGTCTCTTCTCAACGGGAAAGAATTTGTCGAGAAAATCCAGCTCAACCGCCGTGATCGAACATCCGATCGCTGCGCCTTCACTGGGTAAAATGAAGAAATTTGCGAGCAGCAGAGAAGCTCTCGGCGGATTCGATTGGACGGCGGAGATGAAACGGGAAGAATCTCAACTGGATCATCACCGATACTCTACCGATGATAGAGAAATAATTATTCCAAGCTCTGTTAGAATACCTCTGACTCAGCCAGAGGGTTTGAGTCTGTGTCCGAGGCCCAAGAGTGAAGTTAATTTGTGGAAGAGAAGAACCATGGATCGACCAAAACCACTTCAAGTTAAAGCTACTTGATCGGTTTTATTTTCATCATTTACTATTTCTCTGTATATTACGATATTGTTTTTTTGTTTTGGAATTTCGTTTCCACGACAACGATAGATACTCCCAAGTCTGAATTTTATGAATAGATTAAAAAGTCAAAAAGTAATTCGAATTGTGAATAGATCAAAACCTCGTTTTATTTTTGGTCTACAGACTATAGAGTCTAGATTATGCATATAACGCATGTCTTGTCCGTATATGATAATCCAGATAGTTCGCCAACAATGCCAATTTTCTAAAGTCTGCCAAAAAACGTTACATTTGTTATAAGTAAAAACGCTGTTGATTGAAGGTTAATCACTTCGCGTAAGTTGTCCATACTCAAGTCTAATCTGTGTTGACTTTAGCATCGATCTGGTTTCAAGGCATAAATCATATACATGTATATGGTTTCGAATATGTTACAATAGTAACACGTTATGATGAATTTTTCAATTACTTCTTGTTAATAGATGTTACAATAGTAAAGTACGTTATGATGGATTCAAGGCATAAATCGCATATATGGGCTAGAGGTTAGAAAATTATGTTTGTTAATTAGAAAAAAAATTGTAAAATGAACCAAAAAACCTAAAAATGTTACAAGTTTGGTGCCCAATAGTTAAGCTAACAGACATCAGCCCAACCCACTATGTTTGTGCCCAATAGTTAAACCAACATATAACTTAAACCGAATGGAAAAGAAGCTGGATGGTGGAACCAATTTTTTTTTTTTTTAACAAGGGCTAAATGTTGGAACCAATCTCCAACTACAGAAAATCAGACGAGCTCGATTCTATGGATCCTCAAGCTACTCTTAAGGAGGAGATCGTTCACTTTGCTTTCGAACCCTGAGATATTTATCAGAAACTCTGTGGAAGATGATTGTTAGGAATCCTAATATCAGAAACAATTTGATTAAGACCATAAAACTTAACAAGAAGTTTAGCCGAAAATATCGCAACTGTACAAAGAGAAGGCAATGTCAGCAAAAACATCGTCTCAAAGCCAGTAAGGTCTGTAAAATGTTGTGCTAGTTCTATCAACTTCCTCTCCAACTAGTTTCATTAGCGAAAAAGCCATGGGCGACGTTAGATTAAAAATAACAAGGCTAAAAACAAACAAGGGATTTTACTTTAATTTATTTACGGCCATTCACATGATGAAAGACATTTGTTGTACGTTTTTCTCCATCAAAATTAAGGATTTATAATTTGTTCTGAAATATCATATTTACACAAAATCGACATCATGCCACAAAGACTTTTAGATAAGACAATGATAATAAGAAAAACTCCATCTATATAGCCCTCCTGTCATTTTCAATGTGAATCACCACGATCTGGAATAAAGCTGTTTCTATATAAATACAAAATAGTCAAGACACGAGACCAGTGCAGCGAGTTGGCCAAAATTGAGCAAAACAAAAGAGTAATGTCTTGGTTAAATTTTCATAAATCTAATCGTAATCCAGAAAGAAATCACGTGAACTACCAAGCAAAACGTATAATTTTCATAGCGTGCGACCACCACGCTCGTTACTACTATTCCCAGTTCCAAGTTCCTACCACCCACTGCCTTGCGACAATCTGTAAACGTGAAAAGCTTATTTTGATTTCTTGTCGCTACCCAATCACACCACACTGCCCTTCTTTGAATTAATTAGTTATTAAAATTAAATTCCTAAGCAAGAAAATACAAAACAGAATTCAGACACTCTCACTGTCTCACACACTAGTCAAACTACTCAAACCGCTGTCCACACCTGACCTAAGTACATTAGTTTACCACATTACCCTGCAAAGCATGTTTTTTTTTAACTATCACCACCTGTCTCTCGCCGGAAGCGTATAATTCGATACCCAGATTCTTATTTGGAACAGAGAAAAATCATAAACCAAAATTAAAACTAAATGCAAAAGAGTACAATGATTGACCAAGCTGATTAACTCAAATTTAAAATTCCAAAAAAAAAAAAAAAAAACAAATCGAGATCGGAAGACGAATCTCTCAATACAGACAGACCTGAATAATTCTTTTCTCACGAACCCTACGAAGAATCCGGTTTCCGGCAGAGAATCATATGCATCGGAGAGAAAATCTCCGTCTCGCCACCTCTGCTCAAGAAATCAGCCGTTTTAAACAGCATTTCATGAACATCAACGGTTCCTTTAGGCGCAACTCCAACCGCAGACAAAATCTGAACCACAATGTGGTTCCTCCAATAAGCAACCCGACCCATCTTGAGCCGGGTCCACCACGGCTCAGCCGGTGGAGCCGCCAGATCCTTCTCCTTCACAACCTCGAACCCAACTTTCATCGCCGTCTCTGCTATATCCGAGTAAGCCCTAAGCCCCGGAAGCGCGTTTCCCCTCTCGATCCCTTGGATCACCGCCACGTGTTCGTCATCCTCCGGTTTAAACTTATCCGTCGTGACCCACTCATACGAGACATAGAGAGATCCAGGTTTCATCACCCTATAGATCTCCGCGTAGACCTCCTCCAGATTCGGCGCGTGGCACGTCGCCTCGATTGAGTACGCGCCGTCGAAGCTGTTATCGTCGAACGGCATCTGGAGGAAGTTGCCGCACACGACCTCGCAGAGCGCGTCGAGCCCGGCTTTCTTGTTGTGGTCACGAGCTCTGTCCACCTGATACTCGTTGATCGTGATTCCAACTATGTTGGCTCGCGAGTGAGACGCAATCGCGCGCATCGGACCTCCAACGCCGCATCCGACGTCGAGGATCTTCTGGCCGGGTTTGGCTTGGATCAGATCGGCGGCGAGCTCCTCGTGGATGATCGTGGCTTCGCGGTTAGATTTTCCTCGGACGGAAGGAGAGAAGTGGAAGGATTGTCCCCATCCCCACTCGTAGATGTCTGTGACGAGGTTGTAGAAAGTGTCGACGAAGTCGGGGACTTTCTCGGCGGTCTCGATTTCTTTGGGACGGCGGAAGAAGGACCAGTACTGTTTGTAGTTGTCTTGGACGTTCTCGGCGGAGATTGAGCCGCCGGAGAGATCGACGGCTCGTTTTCCCTTTCGCTCTGCGGGACCGAGGACGCAGAGGAACCAGTAGATACCGCCGGCGACGAGAGCGCCGGTGAAGAAGAGTGCTACAGTGTCCATTTCGTTAAGAGAGAGGCGGAAGAGAGGACAGAGTGAGAGAGAGAGATGAGGTCTCTTTTTCTTCTCGTCTGATTTAAGATAAAGTAGAGTATTTAATCTGTAAATATACTGAGAAATTCAGAGAAAATATCTATTAGAAAAGGAAAAGAAAAAAATCGAAGATGTGCATGAATTTATTGGTCTCCTTATATTCGCATTAAAATAAAGGGAAAATAATTAATAGGAGGAGACCGAATTTGACTTTATAAAATTTTAGGAATTTTTGTTCATTCTCTTTGTTCTTGGGTCAATGAGTAGTATTTTAAAATTAATCTCCATTAAAAGAAATTTATTGGTCTCCGGAAATTTTTGATTACTACTTCGTGTAAATGTGATTAATGAAATAGATAGCTCGTAACAAAAAAATAAAATTAAAATATTTGGAAAAACCGAAAAAGTAAGGTATCCAGTATTCACTATCAAGCGCGCGTGAGGTGCGTAACGCCAAAGCTGAAGTTTGAACAATTGCCGTCTTTGAGGGAATCACGTGTGGTGGAAGAAGAAGAGTAGTACAGAGTTTTCTTCTCTCGTAAATTACAGTAATAATTGAATATAGTATAAGATTGTGCTACTGTCGTTACATAACACCTATCCCTTTCAAGACAAACTTTATAGGAAAAACCAGAAGGGAAAATAGATCATTTGATTACAACACCTAAACATATACTTTCAAGTGATTATTCCGATAAATATATCAAACCGATTATTAGCACTACTGAAACATTTAGAAAGACACCAAATCACTCACTAGTGAGTGTACTGAATAATCACCTGGGTTATTTCTTGTAATTGCCGTTTTACAAAAATATGTTTATCAGTGGAGCTTGCAAAAGGGAATACATAATACATGCTTAACTTTATAATTTGACTCTTAAACAAAAATGCAAAGTGTTTTGTGGTTTTAGTGTGTGTTCAGACACTAGGCAGTAAAATTAAATTTATATATTATATAATTGAACCGTTCTTACAAACTTGTCCACATACAAACCTTAAAAGTTAAAACCATCTAGCTATCTTCTTACTGTCAATTGACGGGGACGTTTTGAACACTCGTGAATATCGCACATATATATAGCATTGCCAAAGCCTATGATTAGTAGCCACTAATATATGCCATTATCTGATGACATTATTCAAAAGTTAGTCACCAATTGTTGTTGTACCTACTAAACATATTACAGTACTATGACCATTCATAACACTTTAACTATAATCCTGAAATGTCTTCATAGAAAAACTTGTTCGTTCATGACGCTTAAAATTGTAAATCCGAAGTGTCTTTTAGTCTTTAAAACTAAAAGTAAAACAAAACTGGAAAACAGAAAAGTAAATCTGATCAACGAATCTACGATCTGTATTTATTTCGACTAAAGAACAAAAAACAAAAAGGAAGAAGTGGTGGACATGGGAGAGAAGTACCGACCAGAGAAGTGGAAATCACGTGGAAGCTTCTTTTTTATAAAGAGGCTTTCGAATCCTTTACAAAAGTCGACTCACCTCATTGATCTGCCTTACTTTTTGTTGTCTTCTTGCTTGGCTTCTAATTAGACCACATCACCTCAAAGATGCTCTTCCTCTTTTCCTAAAGCCTTTTTGTGTTTTCCCACTCAAAATATAAATTGCTATTTTGTAAAATGTCCTCTTGTAGTTGTCATCATGTTTTTATGTATGGAATAATGGACATCCAACATTTCTGATAATTGTAACCTTTTAGCTTGTTCATAAACTAAAATACATGTGCCACTAAACAAAATATAACTTCTCTCGACAACTTGACTAAGTTAGTAACTACGAATCGAAGTATATATGAACCGAAATGATATATGCGTCCGACTTACGCGGGAACAAGGGAAGCAACAGCCGTTGTTATGGTAACAAAAAGCCACAACAATACACTAAGCAATTCGATCGATTTTCTTTTAGAAGTGTAAATTTTCCTTGACCATTTGTACGTGGCGATGGGTTTTCAGCGTAATCACTTTGATGTGGTTATAGTGGGCCACTAGAATTTTTGATGAAAAACTTTTGGAACTCAGATATTAGCCTAATCACTTATAGTTAGCACCATTTACTTGATGATCATCGAGATAAGCTGACAAGAGTTGACATTCCCGATTTACACATATTTTTACATGATATAACATGTTAGAACTATAGCACATATTTTTACATGATGTAACACGTTAGAGCTATATTAGTTTAATCTCTGGATTTTAGTTTTTCAATTTGTCATCCAATTCTGTTGGTAGATCAATCCTTCAATAGGCTACAAAGTCACAAAGATGCTTGATTTATACACACATTAACTAAATATTCAAATGTTGTAGCTGCAGGATCCATCTATGCTAAATATGCTATAATTGAATTAGTTTGTAGATGTACATGATAAGGTTAAGTTTATTGTTTATATAACTAGACTAGTTTTTATCTCACTTGTTATCTATAGTGGGTTTACACATTTTTGTTGAATCCGAACTCAAACCCCTGTTTAAAACCTAACGATTAGTTTTGATTAATAATTTTTTCTTATAATCAAGTATTGGTCCTAATTAGAGAGAGGCGCTGTAGCAAAACTCCACAACTTTCGACTTACATAAGAAAGTGAATATTAATTTCTAACAGTTTTCTTTACTACTCAATTCATCTGTATCTTCAAGAACTTTCGGGCAAGGTATAAATCTACATAAAAAAATTATATAAAACAGTAAAGCAAGCAAAACCATTTATGGAACCAGTCACATTACAACAAATTAAGGTCCATTCGATTCGACACTCTTTTAAATATTACAAAACACTTTATGCAAGAACGTGAAAGAAAAGCCACCACTAGATAAGAGACTCTCTCTCACTTCACTCACACAAACATATTAGTTAACGGTGACTTTACCGACCATACCAGCACCCTGATGCGGCGCACAGTAGAAACTGTAAGTCCCAGGCTCGGTCAAAGCAACCTCGTACGCCTCTCCCGGACCGTTGAGCAGATCTTGCTCGTCCATCGAGATCTTGCTCGCGTCAACGCCACTTGGGATCTCGTCCTCGTCGAAGACAACATTGTGTGGGAATCCAGCATTGTTCTTGAACGTGATCTTCTCTCCTTTCGCAACAGTGAACTCGTTGGGGACAAAAGCCAACGCTCCATCTCCTGATCCCAAGAGAACTTCAATCGCCATGGCGTTTCCGGCCAGAACAACCGAAGCTGCAGCCGCTACGGCCACGACTCCGAAGTCCTTTAGAGATGACTTCACGGTGAGCTTCCGTGATACAGCCGATGCGGCGGGGAGTCTGACGACGGCGGAGGGTTTGGAGACTGTGGATTTGAGACCGGTGAAAGATGGGATTGCGACGGTGGCTGAGGTTACTGAAGCCATGATGAAGTGAAAGATTTTTTAAGAGTGAAAGATTTGTTTATTCTCTTCTTCTCAGTTGAGAAATTGTGAGGTTTATCAGTTTTATGTGGTGAGAGAGAGAGAACGAGATAGAGCAACGGATGGCTCTGAAAGCAAACTCCATAGAAACGAAGTTATCTGAAAGACGCGTTGTGATTGGTTGATATTAGATGTATGTCGTGACGTGGCATTGTGAGGTGGGGAAAAGAGATAAGATTATTAGCTGACTTGGCATTTTCGGATATTTGTTTAAAAGACGGGCCTATTTCAAAACGGGCTTCGACTGGGCCTTTAAATATTGTAAAAATACGTGGGAAACACGAAAAATTGCTGTCAGTGACGATATATTTCCATTTTCGCAGTTTCCTCTTTCCGTTCTTCACTTTTGAAATCAATTAAAACAAGAGAATGAATTTTAGGGCTCTTTGATTTTTTCTTCTGAATCTTCTTTCTCTCAGTTGTAGACGAAAAGGTTAATTTCGATGGGAACTCCAGAAACTAACAGAGAACCATGTCCCGATCGGATCCTGGATGATATCGGCGGTGCGTTTGCGATGGGCGCTGTGGGAGGATCCGCGTTTCACTTTATCAAAGGAATCTACAACTCTCCCGCCGGCGCTCGTCTCTCCGGCGGGGCTCAGTATGTGCGGATGAATGTGCCGAGAGTCGGAGGAAGCTTCGCCGTGTGGGGCGGTCTCTACTCAACCTTCGATTGCGCGATGGTGTACGCGAGACAGAAAGAGGATCCGTGGAACTCGATCATATCCGGCGCCGCCACCGGAGGGCTTCTCGCGATGCGTCAGGGGCTTCGCGCGTCGGCTCGATCGGCTCTAGCCGGAGGTGTGATTTTGGGTCTCATAGAAGGAATGGGAATCGTGTTGAACAAAGTTTCGAGTGCTGCGCAGAGCGAGCAGCAGATGCTGATGGAGGTAGCCTCCTCGGTGCCAGCTGGTGGGACCATGGGTCAGATATTTGGTCAGTCCGTACCGGAGACTTCTTCTGGTTCGGAGGCAGGTTCGGGGTCTTGGTTTGGAGGGTTGTTTGGAAATGGGAAGAAGAAGGAATCTGAGGATAAATCAGGGAGCAAAACGCAGATTCTCGAGAGCTTTGATGCGCCTCCTGTGCCTACTTACGAGTTTTAAGCTAATAAAAATTTAGGTCTTGATTTACATTATTTTTGAAGTTTAGAGGCTTAATGTCTAGAACTCTGTTCTTCTGGAAACGCATGATAACTTTTATAATGTTTTGAAGTTAGGGAGCTTAATTTCAGTCGTTGATCGATTTGGATGTTATAACTTAACAATAATAGAGTACCGTCTGCGTCTGGGTTAATTATATGTAAAATTACCGATTATAATATTACAACATAATTAACCAAAGAGAAGACGCGAAGAAGTTTGAGGTTTGGTCCGTAAACATACGATCGAGTTTCACGGGTTGGCTTATATAACTTGGTCCAGTTGTCTGCAAACTGTGGGCTTATTTTGTGCCGAAGCGATTTATAAATCACAGGCTGAAACAGGTGAAATCAAAGGGCACCGGATTTGAGAAATACACGAACCAAGTGTAAAGTAAAGTGAAAGGGAAACTGAAAAAAAAAAACAGTCAAGCTTTTATGTGTCACACTGACATTAGAAAAAAACTACATGTGTCTAATTTTTTGTAATAATCTAATTTTCAATAGTTCAATTTTCCAAATTTCTAATTAGTTGAAATAATAAAAAGAAAAGGATGTTTGTTTTGTTATACATATTTAGAGAAAAAAATTAAGGTTATATATAATTAAGACACGTTATATCTGAATTTTTTGTTGATGAAGGTTTGCATTCTATTGATGAAGGTTGATTGCTTCGTTTGCCACTTTATAATTTTTTTGTTTTTTCCTCGCAGACTAAAACGTCCATATACAGTATTGAGCATTAGTGAAACAGCTTGTGAAGTCTTTCCAAACCATTAATTTGGGCTGGTAAATATTTAAATGAGCCTAAACCCATTATGTCTCTTGTTTGACACCGATCCGATCCCACAGAACAAGCCAGGTTTTGCAGCGAACAAACCTTTTTTCAGTTGGAATTGGGAAAAATGATAAAGAGAAAGAGATGGAATGTTGAATCAGCTCAAAGTTGTACATTGAGAGTTGTGTCTTGTCCAAAAATTAGTAAACTGAGAAAAAATATTTCTAAAATCCAAATAGTCTAAACATCATTTAGTTGTATTATGTTGGTCAATTTCCCTATTTAGATTTAGAAATATTTTTCTCAGTTTACTAATTTTTCCGCTATAGATGATTTTCAACGATTTTATGAATATTAGAGTTTTCAACTCAAAAATAGTACTATATGTTATACTTATTGTAAAATTTAAAGTGAGAAAAGTGGAATAAATATATTTGGCAAAAGTAAACATAATATAAGAAGAACCTAAGCAAAATATTTTCAAAATATAAGTAAAAAAGAAAAGAGAAATATGTGACAACAAAATTGAAACCGAGAGATATAGTGTGACCAAGAAAATAGGTTCCCCTGAATTGACAAGGTTATAACTAATGTCTATTACAGCTTCACGAAGAAGGTTATACATTTCTCTGTTACGAATTTACCTCCGAGGATGGGATATCGAGGCCGAGAGAAGAAAAGCTATGTACACCACAGCCAACTTCTTTGCACATAATACGTGGCCCCTGTACTGTAGGCTTTCTGTAGATGTATATCATCGACATTGAATTGATATCTCCGACGATCATGTGAAAGCCCCCATCGTTGTTAATCCTCTCAACATACGAGGGGTCTGCACACATTCTCATTCCAAACGGTTTTGTTTCCCTTTAATCACTCGCATTATAAACAACAATTTCAGAACACATATCATTTTAACAATGCATTATATTGAGTCACGCACATAATGAAATGTTTTCATAGATTTAGATTAGACTTGCCAGGAATCATAATTCTCTCTGTTCTGGAGCAGAGTCAGTGGCTTGTCTCCTCCTCCAAATCTGAATGCTACTTTACCCATTTTCTGGTTCTTTTTACTCTGTGATATGATGATTTGTAAGTCAGTCAGTTCCTAATATATATATAAGGGAGTCAGCAAAAGTCTTTCTTCTGTTGAAAACGAGTGTTTGCGCTCATCAAAACTCTTACTAAACAAGAAAACACACTTTAACTATAACTGGCAAATACTAGTGCAGTTAGGTACATCATTTCCTGATATCTTGATCGCCGCTTTCGTGTTACTCACCAAAAGTGTTTCTTCTTTTTCAAAATGAGTATATGACTCAGCTTAATACTATGTGCATATGTGATTACTCAACTACATTTTGCTTAATTTACCATGCAATGATGCAAAAAGCTGTTAAATCTGCGTTCACATTGTATTAAAAATCTGTTTAAGAGGCTCAATTATACAAAATCAAAAGTCTTGAACACTAGTTATTGCCATTTGTTTTTTCTTGATAAAAGGATTTCGTTATTGCGATTTACGTAAGAGCGTGATCACATACACACTCATTTTCAACAGAACGAGACTTTTTAGTAGCAACATTCTATATCTGTCATTGCTTTCTTTTTTTCTTATTCTTTTTGATAACCCTTTTTATCAAAAGAAAATATGTCAATGTCAATTGCTTTTTCTTAGTTTCTATGTTCTTGTCTCATTATTGTATTTGTTATTATTGTATTAGTTTCTATGTTTTTGCACATTTTTCTCTCTCTTAGTTTATGATAATGGAGAAAATCCGATAAACACTAATAAAATCTCTTACGAAGAATACAAATAGAAGATGAATCCGTAAATAAACAAAATTAAGTTGAAGTTTTTTCCTGCTGTTTTCTTAATTTATTTGTTTATTTTATAATATAAATTATAATAAAAGAAAATTAGAGTTGCCAAAAAAAGGAACTAGATAACTAGATCGATCCAAAGGAAAAGGACATGTGAGATGGGATTCAATTTCAAACCCTCCACTACATCAAACCATTACACCAGAGGGACTTCTCCTAAGTGAAGCAAAAGCGGCTTCACCCGGTTGCCTTCTCTTCCACACTCATCTCTACGGAGGTTTCATCATTTACCTTGTCGGCAACAATTAGCTCTCCGGTACCATTAGTGTTTTCCTTCACTGAAACTTTCTCTTCATGGACTTTTTCATCAGAGGCTTCTTCAATCTTCTTATAGAAAATGACTTCATCCGGTTTGTGTTCAGCAACACGTAGGTCCGGATAGTTTCTTTGGTTCAACGAATGCAACCAAATCGCCACAATTCCATCTTTCTCTTCAGCTGAGCCAATGTGAGAGTACACATGCTTCCATTTGAATGCTTCAGCTACTTCCTTGTACTCTTCCATTGACACCTCATCGTGAGTGCCTTTAAATCTCTTGTTATAGGACGTGAAGAAGCATTCATCAAGGTATAGTCCAACTTCTGGCGCCATTGGTACAACTATTCTCACATCCCTGGTTAAAGAGTTGCTCAGTTACAAAACTAAGTTTTACACCAAAAACAATTCTATATTCAGTTGGAAAAAAGTGTAAAAAGCTTACTTCTTGAAAGCGGTTTGGATCAATGCTTCAGGTGCAAAGTTCCTCATGACTGCAACAGCAAGTCCGATCATTTTACGGATCTGATGAAGCATGAAGCTCTGTCCAACAACTTCACACTTGACAAAGTCTTTCCCATCGAGGTTAATCACCGTGTTTGCATTGAAGGAGAGAATGTACCGGTTCGCAGCTGGGTCTGCTGCTTTCGTTCTTGTGGTGAAGTTGTGGAAGTTATGAGAACCAACGTAATAGCCTAGGATTCTGTTAAACCTCTCCTTCTCTCTCTCTCCATAACAGAACTTGCTCTCGCCATTGTTCAACTCTTCCTTATTAGCCAAAGTATCCAACTTTGACTCGCAACCACCGTCTTGCTTATCCTCTGTTTTAGAGATTGAATCAGAGTTTTCTCCATGAGGTGCGTTAGAGCTCAAAGCTTCACACTTTACTGCATCTAAGTTGCTCGACGTAATGTCTGAGTGAAGCTCCTCCAATGGCTTTGTTGTATCATCACTAGCGTCTTTGCCCATAACACCAAGCGGAATCTTATAGCCTTTCTCAGAACACTCTACACATTCCACATATTCGTATCCCGAATCCGTTCTAACCATCTCGGCTTCACCATGCGAGCATGGATCAAGAGCGAAAACCGGAATCAGATACACATACCTCCTCCGATCGCAGAATTTCTTGGAGCTGAACGACGGCGCGACGCGTTTGTAGCCAAACACACGGATCTGATCAGGGAGATTCGAGTTGAGCCGATCGACGAATCCGGGAGGATCGACGTAGAAGCGACCGGAAACCACCTGCCCCACCGCGCTCACGCCTTTATCCGTGCGAGCCGATCGCGCCCATTCGTAATTTCTTGGTTTGTTCCGATCGGCTTCTGGTACGGCGCCGGCGTGGAACAGAGCCTCTTCGAGCTCGCCTTCGATGGTTTTCGCGCCGGGGTTCTTTTGCATCCCCTGGTACCCTACCCCGCAAAATGCAAACACGATGGCGACTTTCCGGCGCCTGTATTTCGGTGGTCTACGCTCAGCGCCGCCGCTTCCGCCGGCTGCAGCAGTAACAGCAGCAGAGGAATCTGTTTCCTCGCCGGTGGTGGAAATCTTGAGCTTCTTCTGGTCTGGTTCTCGATCAGGAACCTCATCTGGAGCTAATTTCTCGATTTCGGGCTCCTGATTCTCCATTTTCACCAATAACAGCTTTTTTTTTCTTTGCTACAGTTAAGACTAGTGTTAGTCATGTCCCCTCATAGAACCCTAGAACTACAAGACAAATGAGGCCCATGTTCTACGACGACGTATTACAATCAGACCTGCGGTTAATAAATGGGCCTTGAAGATATATCTCCTGATTGATATTGGGCCTTTAAGCCCTGAGTTTTTGAAACAATGCCAATACGCGCGCGTTTGCATCTTTTTTTTTTTTTGGTATGAACGCGTTTGCATCTTCTTGAGGGTTTAAACTTCGAACCCCCACCATATAGTATACTGTATACGATAGTCTTTGACGTAGTATACAACATTTGTTTTTGAGCTTGATGCATCAAATGGGCCAGTCCTGATTAAACCATTTGAAATTTGTTGGCGTTTTTTGTTTAAAAGTTTTCAAGAACTTGAGAGAAAAAAGGAACTTTAGGAGTTTTCACTGTTTCCCTACACTAATAGACAATCTTTGTGACAAAATAGAAAGATAATACAAGGGTAAAGGATACCCAAAAGTAAGTGATGTGAATATTATATAGTCATGGGACTTCATGATTCGTGTTTTGAAATTATGTAACAAAAAGCCGATCTTTTGTGACATCTTATCACTTGACGTTCGACCCAACCCAACACTGTCGTTTCCATTCTTTATCCTCGTTTTTCCCTTCTTTATTTTTGCAATCGTTATTTTCTAATGAAAATGTATTTTTGAAAATACTCGGCAACTGAACAAAATCAAACTATTCATGAAACACCTTCTTTGGCACGTGAAACTCTGCCCTAAAAGATTTACAATCATGGAATATCACAAAGACCTTCCCAATTGTAAACAAAAAAAGAAATTCAACCTTTTTAAGTAGCATACCAATTGAGTATAATTTTAAAAAATATATTTTCTAGTTTTTGCTTTTGTAGGTTGATTTACAATTTTGAGCAAGGGAATTTATGACCTTACAAAAAAAAATTATGACCTTTAAGTGAGGCCGTATAATGTACTATTGCAATCAAGTGTGTGGTTCGTGGATTTGAATTAATAATTCACCTGGTAATAGTACTAAATGACGATTATAATGATGGTATGCATGAGAGAGTGTCTGCGCATGCATAATGAAAAAGTTGAAAAAGAAAGGAATAAACTCGCCAAAACATAATTATGATTTGCGTGGGCGACTTGTAATTGATTTTTATTATTAGTATTTAATCCACTAAATCGACTTTCACCTCAGAACAAATTGATTTGAACCTCTAGGTGCATATGTATCGAGTTATCAAGTATCGACCATCTCCTGAATTGAATCCATGCAATTTGAGATGCTCACTAGCTAGTCACTATTACCGTTACATATCAAACTCATAACCAATAAGGCGTTTAAAAAAATATATCGATCGCAGGCAATTATTTCTCAAATGCGTCAAGGTGGGCATCTTTGTTTTTCTACTTGCGATATTAAAAACTTTAATGTAAAATCTTACAAAGCTACAATACAGATTTCGAATCCAATAGCCTGTAATGTTCTGGAAAGCGGAAATCGGAAACATTTATTAAATGATTCAATCATACACTGACATCTTCACAATCCGACAAACCCGACGTTTCCGTTTTTCACTTTCATTACCATTGAATGCAAATAAATATCAAACCCATTCCACCAGATCTATAAGCTAGTTGGTTCTCAGTTTTCTTCGTTAAACTTTAAACCCTGTTTCATAGATACGAAAAACAAATTAAAGACAGACGCGCAACAGTGAGAGGAGTCTATAGAAAATAACATTAACTGTTACACTTATCTACTTAACCACTACATAAAAGAGACTGAGACCACCTCCAGTGCCGTGCTCAGGGTAAGAGGGGCTTAAGGCGGATTGAAAAAATGGGGGCCCTTTTATAATAATGATTAAAACAAACATTATATCATATCAACATTATCATATATAAATGACCGTTAAGGAAAATGAAAAATTGTTTTGGAAAAAGATGAAAAAAATAGAAGAGAATTTCCTTATTTTAAATATAAAGCTGTATTGTTTTTTTTTTTGAACGACAATAACTTCTCATTTAACATTCTCAACCAACAATACAGTGGGTCCCAGTAGGAAGAGATGGAATTAATCGACTTTTGGCTAACTTTGCGATTGCATCGGCGATGTTGTTGTTGGATCTGGGGATGTAGGAGAAATCGATCGAGACAAACATTGAGGCAAGAGCGTGAATGTCAAAGAGGAGTCCGTAGATCTCTTTGATCTGCTCATGCGAATTCAAGGCCCGGATTAGATCCAGGGCGTCTGATTTGAGATGCAAGGAAGTGAACCCTTCCTCCAAGGCATGATTGAGGGCGGATCGGACTGCTAAAGCTTCTGTCATCAAAGGGGACGAGACGTTTCTCTCCGCCGCTTGACCTCGGGAAACCTCTGATCCCTCGTTATCCACGAGGATCCATCCCAATCCGCCTATCTTCGTTTCTTTGTTCCAGGCTCCGTCAGTGAAGCAGGTGAGTGCATGTGGTTGGTTTGGTGTTCGATTGGAGAGATTGGGTCTTTGATTCACTACTCGTTTTTCTTGCTGAGCCAATTGCCATTTCCGTGCCTCTCTTACTGCTTTCGTAATTGTTTCTGAAGGGGTAAAGAGGTGTTCTTCAAAGATAAATCGGTTCCGGGCCTTCCAGATGAACCAGCAGATCCAGGGGAACAGTGGACCCTCTCCTAGGCCCGACGGCGGAAGGCAAACCCAGTCTTTCGAAGCGATCAGAGCGGTTGAAAAGTTTAGGATAAGGGACGGGTTAATGGTGTTGGAGAAGGTTGACTATCAAAGTGAAGATGTCTTTTTTCCCAATTTCTCGCGCGGTATTAGCTGTATTGTTTTGGAAAGAAGATGAAAAGGAAAAGCAATTTCCTTGTTTTAAAATGAAATTTGTATTGAAGCCAAGAAGAATCGAACTTGAAGTAAAGAGGTAAAAGGAAACTTCATAAAACCAATAGGCTACAGAAGACTTTTGAACATTTGGGGGCCTCTAAAACTTATATCGTTGTGAGGGGCCTGTGGCAAATGCCTTTTTGATAACATGGTAGGCACGCCCCTGACCACCTCGAGAAAAAGAGAAGAGATTGACCATTTTTTAACCCAAGAGATTTACCCTTCTTTTAATGAGCCATAGAGATAGTTAATCTAGGTCAAATAGCTTTAAACTTTAGACGTCGTAATGTCATTATTCATTTTCTACCATGAGCTTTGGATTCTGTAATCCACTCTCCTCTAGTGGATTAGTAAATGGACCCATCAACTGGAAGATGTCTCGTACCGTCGCATGAACCAGAAGTGTGAAAATTGTTAAGTTCACATTATACAATTATTATTAATTAAAAAAAGCTGCATCCAGATTCCAGATACAATGCGACGTGTACTGTGTACATGGGCAGATATACATATCGGATTTATTTACGTTACTATTGATAATTTTTAATAGTTTATTTGTTTGTAACCGTTGTAGTGATCACTGATCAACGTGACGACATCATATGCATGCAGAGTACTCACGCCAAACCTGATACTAAGAAAACCTGATAATATAATAACAATAAATATTACAATTCATGTTGATTAAGTGTACTAATCAAAACACTTTTGCGTGTAAATAAAAAAAATCCGTGTGACAAAAAAAAATCAATATGTTTTTGTAGCCTACATACAAATTTTATAGTGGTTCAAGAAAACTACATATTGTGAAAATCGATTTTCAATCTCGATCAAGAAAAATACTGACTACTCGACTTGAAAATTCGACAGTCTTTCTCAAAAAAAGATCGATATAGTTTACATTCCGACATTTTATTTGTTCGTTCTTATGCTTTTGAATCGTGATGACAATAAAGTAATAAACGAGTACGAATAACAACTTGCTGAACCAAAAAAACTCATCATTAGTACGGGGCTATTTTTAAAGCGTACCCGTATAAGCTTTTTAATTATTTCGTAGATCGAAGCAGAGAAGTATGTTTTTATTTCTGTTGTTATTTTATTTGTGTTTATACGTTTGGGTCACACAGTGTACACCATATTGCCAACGTCAACGTTTCAAAATCCGGGAAAAAGGGTGAAAGAACAAAGAAAAGAAAAGAAAACGGAAACGGTAGGCGCAAAGGTAAAACCCCGTTGAAAAGTTGCTAACTATTTTTGGTGAAGAAACAAAAACCCGAGAGAGAAAACTATTCAGTCTCTTTACAACGAAGAAATTACTTTATTTTCCCGAGAAACCCACATTTATTATTTCTTTCCTAATTTTCCCTAATCTCTCTCTTCCACAATTATATATGTTGATGTTGGTAGATCTGAGGTCTTTTTCAAATCTGAACCCTATTGATCTTCTCTTATTCATTACTACCCATCTAGGGTTAAATTATAGAGCATTAACCATCATAAAGAGAACCCATCTGCCTGCCTCTCTCAGACTCTCTCTCTCTCTTCCTTCAATAAATAGCTCCACTCTCATATCACTATATACCATCTATCTACAAGACTCCTTTGTGTCTCTCCGAGTGGTGAATACAATGAGAGGGGTTCCTTAAAGAACTCAGAAAAAGATCATATTGGATCTTTTCAACTTTTATTTCCTTTCATGAGGGTTTGACAAAGAGTTGCTTACAGATTTCTTTGGCATTCTGTCCACCTCCTCTACACACATATATGTATGTGCATGTACGTGTATGTATACGTGGTGTGTGTGGACAAGGGAGGTGGTCATACTGTCAATAGGCATCTGTTAGGGTTTCTTCGTAAAACCCTCTTGATATCTATAAATAAACGTTATCAATGTCTTGGATCTGAAGATCTTGGTTTGTTTCTTGGCGAATAGGAGCCTCAATCTCAGGTAATTTTCCGATTGGCTATTCTCCTGATTCTCACATCTTTGTTTCTCTGGCTCCCTTTTTTTATTAGAGTTTTTTTGTTTTTTTTAATTGATCCTTGTTTTATTCCTATTATTTTGATATAGATCACTGAATGATCTTGACTATGGTACATGATTTTTGTTTCTTTTACAACCATATATTACCTTCGTTTTCTCCCCTCCTTTGTAGTGTAGAACCTTTGGACTATAAGAAGGTTGACTAGTGCGAGCTTTTTAATGTTTCGTCTAGAAAATTAAAAGGTTAAACACTGAGAAAAAGAGAAGGACCCAGAATTCCATAAAGGTAACAGAGGTTTTGATTTTCTTTGAGAACATATACAGTAATGGGAGAAAGGAGAAGAATATCGTTTTGAAGTCCACGATGTTATTATGATGTTCCCTCATTCTATTTGAAGTTGAAGAAACAGTAGTAGAGATTACGTGTACTCCTTCATTTGGTATTATTTCTGACCTATATACAAGTTCACAACTTGCTTGCTTAACTTTGATAACTTTTCGAAAACAACACATAACTTTCTTGAGTTTCGATAAGATTTGTTGCTTGATCATAGCTACTAATTAAGGACACTCAAGTTCTACATCTATTTATATATTTGTGTATATATACATATATGTGTTGTATTTGTAAATATCATATTTAGATGATAATTGCAATGCTGATTAATAGATGGTATCATGGTATTTTGTTCCTTTGGGTTATGTACGTTTACTTGGGTTCAAGATGTTTAAACTGTATGTTTTTCTAATTAGTAATTTCCCTTGACTAATTCATAAGTAGATAAATTAGTTGGAATTGAGAGATTAGTTTGGTAGTTTATGTTTTGCGTTAGGGTATTCTGAAGATCATAAAATCTGCTAACTTTATGATCATGTCATATCGATATTTCCGAAAGAAAGTTCAAACTAAGAGTAATTTGCAGTCGGAGTTTTACTATCCCCTGAGATTAACGGAGTGTGAGTTGATAAAAGTTGTCCTTCCGGGAGTGAAGTAAACGTTCTCAGTTTATCAAGCGGGGAATTAATAGCTGTGAGGAAGCTCGTGAATTCTAGGAATATATCCTCGAAAGCTCTCAAAGCTGAAGTGAGCACCATAGCAAAGATATATACGCTCCAATTCTTGGACTTTTGTATGCATGTTTCGAAGCTAAATTATTGTCTTTACAATATTTCTTAAAACGTACCGAAGGAAAGCAAAAACTAAAATATCTTCTCTTCATGAGAGAGTTCATGGCTAGTTTTCATTCTAACTACGAGTTGATTTATACAAAAAGTCATCGTCTCTATTCGTATGTGAACTGGGTTTGCTCAGTAAACTTTAATAAGAAACCCAGTAAACTTGATTGCTCGCTCCCCGACGAAGTTTGATTTGTTTCTTGTAATTGATAATGGGCCTCAAGCCCAACATACTAATTTCAATGTTAATGTTTCCTTCAACAACGGTTTCAGGATACTCAAGTGGAAGAGATATGTGCATGTCCCTTAGGTGAAGGCTCTGAGGCACATCAAGTGCAGAAAGCAGAGCAAGACATTTCGTGTTGAGGAGGTGATCCGTATACATGTATGGTTACCACCGTATTGGATTCTCCAAATGGCAAATTTCACCATGTCCAAAGCGGCAAAGCCAAGTTTCTTTGAATTTTGTTTCCCCTTATGAGACCAACTCTGCTCGAGATGTAACAAAGACGATGCTTCCTTAGCCTTAAGCTACTCGTTAACTCCTTCTCTTTATCAAGTAAAAAACTATGTTTTAAGGTTTGTCAACTCTTTAATCTTCTGAACCTTAAAGCTTCTCTCATCCTTGACAATCTGCATTCTTCAGCTCATTCTCTTTATCAACCAAAAAGTTTGTTTTAGGATGGATCAGACAACTCCTCTATTTGTCTTAAGAGATGAATGAAGCTTCTTCGGATTTAAGCTCCTCATTTTGGAAAACAAGAAAAGTAAATGCAGAGAGAAACATAGTCGCATAGTGTAAATATTTGTACTTGTTGAGTTTCTAGACAAGTATGTTTAGTAATCGATCTGTTCAAAGTTTGTGATATTTGTTATCATTTTGTTTTACCATATAGGTCGTTGGAAGTGAACGTGAATTTGTCAGAGTCTCGTTTGGAAGGTAAGAGAAGAATTCAGAGGATAGAGAAAGAATTGTTGATGAGATTGGTAATCGGCTCTTTTCTTCTATGTGAGATTTTTTATAGAGTTATTTGTCATGCATATTACTAATTGTATATATTAGAGGGAAAGAAGTGAAGTACCTGAGTGAAGGCGTGCTCAATCTTGAAGCCAAAGTAACTGAATGAGTCATGAGAGTTGTAAAGATGCGTTGAACAGTTATATGGCCTAGACATGGCTGAAAAACGTGAGACAAAACCACCAAAAAGCTTTTACCTGTGTCATCTTGCCGAAGCGGAATGAATAAAGTCACAGTTGCTCAAAGACACCCTCTGGAAGCAACCCTTTGAAGAAAACTCTGCAAAGAAAAAACAAAGAGATAAATCTTAATCAGCCTGAAAATGTAAAGAAAGGTTAATTTCGTTTTGGTTTTTTGTTTCCAGGCCAGTGTGTTTTTCCACTCTGGTTTCTCTTGTGTGGAAAGAAGCTTTTTCCTAGCAACTTTGATAACTCTACCATCTTATTAAGGTCCTTGAGCTCAACCTTATCTGCAACTCGATTTCTTTGTCATGCAGACTCTCTTTCATTATTGACAACTCTTTTATCTTCTTTCCCGTTGAAGCTTCCTGCGCCTTAAGCTCTTGATTTTCTTGATTAATATTCGTTTTCCTTGTAAAGTTAGCTCTGCTCAAAATGTTACCAACTCATCAATCTTCTGAACCAATGAGGCAGCTTTGGCCTTGATTATTTTCTCATCTTCGACAATTTCATTCTTCAGTTCATTCTCTTTTTTAGCCAAACTTTGTTATTGTCTTAAGAGATGGATGAAGCCTTTCGCAGACAACATCCTGTGACTCACTCTCTTTCACGAGCAAGATTTTATTTAGAGTCATTGGCTTTTAGGTCCTCAATCTCAACTTCTTTGTCGACAAGACTTTCTTGCAGCTTCGCCAACTCTTCAATTTTCTTAAGATCCCTTTCTCTAAGCTCTTCATTTTCTCGTGTAGAATTCTGGAGTTTGGTTTCTCTATTAGCTCTGAAAGTGCGAGAGCAAGCTCATCATCAATCTTCTTATGATAAGAAGACTCATTTCTTTGAGCACCTCAGTTCTCATATCGTTATTTAGCTCGTCTTCCTTCTCCAACAAGCCTTCTTTAAGGTTTCATGCTTTCAGCTCTCGCTTCTCCACATCTTCTTTCCTGCAGATCCTTAATTTCCTCCTACAACTTCTTTAAGATTCTTTTCTGCATGCAAGATTAAGC